CTATCGGGAGGGGACCACAACAGACACTCGATACAGGCCTTTGACAAGAAATTTCATCTTATTTTAAGGGAACCCACAAGGCATTGCTCAGGGTAGGACACAAGATTTCCATTATGGAAGAAGGTAAGAATTCATTCCATATGGTTGTTGGAGTGGTTGGGATACAAACCTTAACTATAAAGCGCCCCAGGACATACACTGGATACTTTGGTCTCATCCAGCTCAAGGCCTCTCCCAAATTTCCCTTTCCCCAGGCCCCCATCATACCTGGGGGTTGAGCTGGCAGTTGATTGGCCAGCATCCATGACAATCTCTGTTCTGTGTTTTCCCATTGGATGGGCATAGGAACTTCAGGTCAGGAACCCTTTTCTCCCTCCCTCTTGAGGGCCTGCTCAGACATAGGCAGGCTCAGCACTTCAGCCGGCCAGGCCCTCACTCAAGTGCCCTCTTCATGGCACAGGGCAGTGCGCGCCGGTGATGAAGTAGCCTTGACCCCAATCCACTGTCATTCTCCCTTGCGTGGAGCCTCCTGGAGCCTCCTGCGGGGAGGACAGGTAATGAACAGGAAGGAACTGCCCATTCCTGTGCCTCTGGCCTTGCAAACCTTGAAAGCACCAGCGTCCATCTGGGTCCTGAATGACCCCAGTTGCATGAACAACACTGAGTGTCGGCACCGCAGACCCAGGCCATGTACCTCAGTGTGACCCTGTGAACCAAGCCCGGTAGTTGGCAGAACTGCGGAGGGAAGCGGATCTGAATCAGCGTCCACACGTCATCATCTGAAGGCTGTTCCTCCCAAACAAATGCTCCTGTGAGTTAAGCAAGCGTGTGCGGTGTGCCTCTTCATGCTAGAAGGAGCCAGGTGGGCCAGAGCCTTGCTCAGCCCTCACTAGTGGGCCAGCCCACCCAGGCGACCGCTGCCTGCTCCCTCACTTCCTCATTCACATCATGGGGCCGGTAAGGACTTCCAGGCTACCCCAGTGAGCTGCTGGGAGGTAACAATAAAATAATAAACATGGGAATCTGCTGTAAACTGCCACGTGCCATGTAAATGAAAAATAAAAATGTATCTAGTATTCCTAAATAAAAGGAAGGAAACTAAAGGTAATAGAATTAATTTCGAGATGTGACTTTTAGTAAAGCGGCTCATTTCCCACGTGCTTGCTCTGAGTCAGCACCAGGCAGGGGGCTCTGGTTCAGCTCCTCCTTGAGGATCACTGAAGGGGCAGTCATTGCTGTTGGCCCATTTTGCAGGTGGGGACACTGAGTCTGAGTGGGATCAAGTGGCTTGTTTGGAGTCACCCAGGCAGTGAGTGACAGAGTCTGGCCTCAAGTCCACTTCTCTCTCCAGATACCTGAACTCTCTGCTGCGGGATCGATGAAGACCACCGGGCAAGAAGGGCAGGAGCTCTTCTCTCAGAACTTGCCTGCGCAGGAAGCCAGTGCCGTCTCTGGCAAGCTGGCAGCGACTTACAGGCAGAGGGGCAGGCTGGCTTTAAAGAGAGGGTGTCTAGCACATCCTGGGAGAGGCTGTGGGCTGGGGACGCTGGGGGCAGGGTGGCTAGAAGCAGGTGTCCTATGTGGTCCGTCAGGGGAGTATTCTGATCTTCCTTGCATTGATCCCAGGTTGGAAGCAGGGACAGAGCATAGGGAAGGTGTCAAGTATGGATCAAGTCCTGGCCATTTGGAGTTGACTGGCACAAGGGTGATTGTTCGGCTTCCTGAATCAGTACTAGAGAGCGTAGTCGGACTGCCTTCGAGGCTGACTCACAGGTGCGTTAACACTAATTCAATCCCCAGCAACCCTAAGAGGCAGGGATTGCTTATACCCATTTCAGGGATGGGGAGATGGATCTCAGAGACGTGGCCACTTGTTCCACATCACTTAGGTGTTAAGGGGCGGTCCAGCATCAGACACAAGTCACCTACCCATGGAGCTCCCAGTCTGCTCTTAGTCCCACTGCACCCGCCGGAGGCTCAGTGACCAGTGGGCACGTCCCCTCCTCTGCATGCCTGGGGGTGTCGAGGAAGCTTTCTCCAGGGGGTTCAAATGTCTCCCTCTTCTTCTTGCCCCAGGATCCCCCAGGCTTTGTGCAGTGTGCTGTGCATGAAGCAGCAGAAGTCACAGAGCCAGATCCTGATGTCTGAGGGTCTCTGGACTTCCCAGAGCTAGACGGGGACTACACCCAAAGGACATTGGCCTTTCCTGTGTCCCTTGACCCAGCAAGAGCACATGCCAGGGGAAAATGAGGACTGAAGCCGAGTCAGACCGGAAGCTGTGTCTTTCAATGAGAATTCATTGCACAATAGGAGCTGCCCCTGTGTATTACGTGTTCTCTGCGGCCAGGAGATCTGCGCCTGTAGCTCTGGAGACGTTGTTTATTTCCTCAGCTCGGGTCCTACTTCCCTCAGAGCTCAGCTAATGCAGGTTTAGAGAGCAAATTAAGGAGCAGAGTGATCAGTGTGATTAATTTTTAAATAGCCATGAGAGATGATCTGGCTGAATATCTCTATACATGCCCTAAGCCTCAGTTTTCTCATCTGAAAAATGGGAATAATAATAGCATTTACCAAGCACAGCTGGGAGGATAAAGAAAGACAGTGCCAGGTGGGTACTGGAAACATCAGGGGAAACACTTTGTAAAGTAAATGATTAACTAACCACTAAGCTGTACAGGTGAAACCAATACAATATTGAAAGAAAACTCTAACTGAAAAATTTTTTAAAGATATTGCACAGTGCTGGAAATAGTATCTGAAGAAAAATAATTAGCTGCTTTTCTGCTTCTTAGTGTTTGCAGTGTGTCAGGCGCCAGCTGTAAAGCTCAGGGCCTGGATCCTCACGACATGCATGTGGGGTGGGCCCTGTTACTATTCCCATTCCACAGATGAGAAGACTGAGGTTCACAGAGGCTACACACTCTTCCCAAGGCTGTGCCAGGGGTAAGCGGCAGGGCTGGGACTGCAACGCAGGTATCCTGACTCCAAGGAGGAGGCTCCTGAACTCACTGCTGTAACGGGCCCAGGCAGTAAGCAGCACAGAGGTGAGGGAGTGGAGCAAACTGCTGGCTCCCAGGGACGGGTGGACATTTCGGCTCCTCCCACTGCTCAGCCTTGCTCCAAGGAGGAGCTTGGAGGAGGCCCTGGAGAGCTGACAGATGGACGAGATGCAGACAGAGTCCATTAACCAAGGCCCTATGAGTGTGAGTAGAGTCCTGTCCCTTTCCTCCTATGACAGATCAGATGACAAGAAACGCCAGTACGGTGCTGACCTGCCAACGCTTGGATGCTGACCAGGCTGCAGAGGATGTGGAAGCTGCCCTTCTGATGAGCAGCATCTGCCGGAAACCAAAACGGGGCCACGTGCCAGGGCAGCACCCCGCTGGCAGGTCGCCTCACGTGTGCAGGGAGTTCCGATGGCAAGAGAGCAGCGGAGTCAGGCTCAGCGGACTGCCTCTGGGCTGGCCGCCCACCTTGTCAGCCCCTTGCTACTGTTTCCCCAGGCCAGTTGGTCAACCAAGGGCTCCCGCCCTTTGTCCTCTGGTTTCTGGGATGCACCCGCGGCTCCCAAGGCTTCCGTCTGGGCCTGGGGGTGTGATCTGCTCCGAAGGAAGTCAGGCCCAGAGGCCCAGGCCCCATGGCTGCTCCAGGACCTAATTATGGGCTTCCAGGAAGGCAGGTAAAAGAGAGTCACCCTGAACCACCTGCCCTGGCTGCTGTGTGCAACGCGGCTTTGGACACTTTGTGCTTCTCTGAGGGCCTCAGTGTTCCTGTGTCTAAATCCAGGCGAATCCAACTCGTTCAAGGATGGAAGTTTGAGGATCCCCACAGTCACCCCTTCCTATTCCCAAAGCACACACAGCCAACAGGTTGCAGCATTCTTTCCCACCGACCCGGGGCCCTGCCTCAGAATCCTTCTTAACACAGAGCTCCAAGCAACTGCTACTGGTAAACCAGAGTTGGCCTGTGAGAGAAAACCTGGCCGCCGCCCTAGGACCCTTTGATCTGGGAGCCACCCCTCAGCTCTAAAGGCCTGTCATTCTTGTCCGTACACCCAGAAGGCACTGAATGACTCTACCCGCCATTTTCATTTCTTTCCTCTCCCTTTCCCTGGACTCCTTGTGCCTTGGCCGCGAACTTGGGGCTGCATTGATGTGACCGGGGACAGACGGGCAGGAGGAAGGGCTTCCCAGGCCTCATGGCATCAGTTCAGCCACAATCAGGCTGTGAGGAGCCTGTCTCTACAGCTTCCCCGCCCGTCCTGCCGGGTGAGTTGGCAAGGCTGCCCAGGAAAACCACATGCCAGAAGCATCTTACCATTTGCTTTCTTTATTTTTCTTTCTTCCCAGGTCAGTGAGGCAGCAACAGTAATAAAAAGTGAGACAAATTTTCTTGCATGGTAACTCAATAACCCCTCCTGAACCGATGCTCCACAGATATTAGTTCAAAGAGCTTTTCATCAAATTTAGTGCAACCTGGAAGGCCTGGCTTTCTGTACATCGGAAGCGCCTGCCGTCGCGACGTCAGGCAGTTCAGGAGGGCTCGCTTCCGCGGAGGGAGGGGCGTCCCGGGGCAGAGAGAGGGCAGCAGGTCAGTCTGTCGCCTCTTTCCAAGTTCTAGCAGCTCACAGAGGAGCCAGACTACAGACGTGGTTCCTCAGGGAGCTGGCACCACCTGCTGTCATGGCCCAGGGGGCCCGCAGGGCTACTGGACCAGCAGGAAGCCTGGGGGGGCAGTGCTCTGGAAAGCCCGGGCAACCAGCCGCAGCCCTGCCTGCGGCCCAGCCATCACTCTTGAATTATTTCAGCCATCCTCCCCTTTTATGAGCATGCCATTCCTTTGTTGAAAGGGAAATAAACTGGCTCCAGAGGCCGCCTTGACGCTTGCTTGGTAAAGCCTCTGTTTTCAACAGTTGCACGGTTGATCCGCAGCAGCTTGGGTTGCCCTGGGGCCAGAGAGGGTGGATTCTCTTAGAATGCCCATGAGCATCGGGAAGGGTGACACTGGGGACAGCAGGGCCCCAGGAATACAGCAATGTCAGCCATGCATGCTGCAGATGCACGGGGAACCTGCTGTCACGCGACCTGGGGCAGCACCGGATCCCCCTCCTGCACAGCCAGGAGCCCCGGAGCAGGCGACTTCCTCTCTCTCATTCTGCTTGACTTGCTGAATTCGCTCACTCCTACCAGCCTTTCTCTGCTGTTCTGCCCAAGTTATTTGGATACATGGGAACAAGGAAAAGAAAAGACCCCGAGCCTGCAGCCCTCCCCTGGGACCAGACTTGCAGCACACCCATTCTCCCAGGCCTTCTTGCGTTACAGAGCGAACAACAGGGAGCACGTCCTCTAGGGAGCTATGACCGGGGCGGTTTAATCTGCCGGGGGGTCTGGAGGCGGCTCAAGCGTTGGGAGGTCACCCACGCTGCCGTCTCTTCCGCCCCCGCAGCTTCATCTGCCGGGCTGGCACGCTGACGGGCTGCTTCCCGAACTTCTCCATGATCTCTCGGATCCTGGCCAGGTTGGTTTTGCTGAGCGTGAAGTTGCACTGCGTGGCGCCCATGTCATAGCCAACCATGCAGTTCTTGGTGGACGAGGTGAAGCCTTCTGCCTTGGCCGTGACCACGTACTCTCCGGGGTTCAGGAGACGCCAGTAATCCCCATCGCTGGCTGCGAAGAGAACACAGAGGGGTTTGGAGCAGTTCCTGCCCAGGGTAGATACCAGCAGCCCTGTTATCCCAAGACCCGAGAGAGGCTCAGAGGCGGGCTGTGTGCAAGCCAAGCCCCTGCGGATGCACATTCTTCATGCATTTTGGAAGCCAAGATGCTTTCCTCTTTGGAAACCCCCCTTAATGGTTTTCACAGGCAGGGGTGTGGGGTGTGGACTCCCCACAATGTTAATGTATAGGAGCAGAAATGGAGAAATAATCACTAACAGTCCGTCCTCTGTGACAATAAATGCCGTTCATTGTGAACTTGAGCTGCCAAATGGTATGCCCTCCCCACAGAATGCCGTCTTGAAAAGCTATCATTGCGTGCCTTTTTGGCTTTCCTTAGCATGGCTATAAATATAGAAAAGTAATTTAGGGGTGGGGCTTCTCACTTCTGAAAAGAGAAGGGAAGGATGACATGGGACAAGGGCCAATGGCCTGGGAGGAGGCCCTGGTGTATGCACCTCATTCCTGGTCCTTTTTCCACATCCTGGGTCCAAGAGAGACTTGGAGCTGCAAGGCTGCCCGCTGCCGCCCCAGTTACGCACTGGTCGGTTACCCAACAAGCACCTCATGGGATCTATATCCACCCTGAGCTCTAGGTTAGATCCTTTTTGCATAAAGTGGGGGTCTAGGCCAAGGCCACTCCTTGCCAGGAGCCTACAACCTGCTGAGAACACAGACCCTGACATTAAAAAGGCTGCGAGATGGAAAAGGAGATGCAGCACATGGAGAACACAGCGTACGGAAGAGTCGCACCCCAACCCGCTGACCCTCCCAGCGAAACTCTGATGCAGGCCGTACGAGGACTCCCTTTCCTACACGAGTAATTTGCTGCCCAGGGAGGTGTGATGTCCTGCACAAGGTCACAAAGCTAGTGATTAGCAGGTCCTCCGGCAGCAGATTTGGTTCTCTCTTTTATGATGACCTGAATGTCCTGCTCAATCTAAAGCTTCAGTGCCAGGTAAAGAAGAGAAAGGGCTGGATTTGATGAAGTGTTACGTTGGCCCTGAAGTCTTCCAAGGGGTGGCAGCGAACCCTGTGAATGTGCGTGTGAACACATACCCCCATGTAGACAGAGATAATGCTTTGAAGCATTGTGTTTAAGTTCATGTTACAATCTTGATTCATCAGAGACACCCCGTCAATGCTGTGAGCCCACGAGACCTCAAGATATTAAGAAAACTGAAATGCATCCACTGGCAGCTTGTTACAGGTTCACACAGTCTGCTCTCTGCTAAGCCGGGCTCAGTACGAGAGCCCAGGAGCACCGCCCAGGTAGGGGGATCCCTGGTCTTCCCATTCCCTGTGTCTTCCTTCAGTGAAAAGGCACGGTTTTCCACTAAACCTAATGCTATTCCATGGCTTTTCAGAAGACAAGCGCCCGCCAAGCAGTCTGAGTCTCGCAATCAGGTGGCCTGTGCTTCAGAATGCAGTTCCCCCTTTGGCGACGTCTCTCTGGGCCCCTACAGCTCCCAGGGAAACTGAGGGAGCCAGCCCTTCTCACGCCACGTGTCCTCCTGCCGGACCATGATCCTCCCCTTCCTGTCCTGGCCCTGGGTTAGGGTGCGGGTAGCTCGCTCTTCTTCTTCTGCACTTAACAGTATGTTTTCCCCATGGTACATTCTCCATTAATGCCCACTCCACTGAATGGGAGGGAGACAAACATGGGAACATTTAAGTCAAAATGTCTCATGAACACGAGAAGTCGGACACGTTCAGTCTCAACTACTGTTGGGTAACTGCCCCACTGAGGGATCAGGTCTGCTCGGGGGTGCGCGCGCCATGGAGCTGCAGGGGCAGTCGGCACCCGGCTGGTGCCATCGGCACTGGTGGTCGGAAGGGCCCACCCAGGCCCCAGTGAATGTCCATTCGCTGGCAGGTCAGGTTAGCGTCCACCAAGCCAAGGGCCATCCCACGGAATTCTGAGCCTGGGACCGGGCTGACCTAGTTACATGCATTTCGAAAGCGTTCTTACTGGCTTCTTTCTCTGTAGAATTCCATTTAATACTCCTATTTATTTTATACAAAATCCCTCCTGAAATAAAACTTGTCAGATCACATAAGCATCAGACAGAAATCCAGGCAAATTCAGAGCCGACGCTGAGCACCAAGAGGTGCTGAATAGAGTACAGGAAAGCATCATGTGTAACGCATGGAATTCAGTGACATGGGAACACACTGGGAAGTTATTTATGGGGGAAATAAAGGCAGAGGGAGATGCAATTCCCATTAGCTCATCAAAGCTGTCTCCTTGATTACAGGGGCTTGAAATTCAGAGCTCATTAGGCAAAGTACTCTCTGCAGGCTCGAGGGGCGGCCCCAGGGCCTTTTTATCTCTCACTCGATTGAAAACCCTCCTGGTTTCTCACAGCGCCTGCAAGGCACTAATAGCCTAAGGAATGTTTCGGACTCTTTTATGAATCACTCCTTTAAAGGGGTTCATTAGCAGTGTTTAAAATACAGTCCTAGGCAGAGCAGAGCAAACAGCCTCTGTCATTCATGAGGACTGCCATCGCGCGCAAATAGCTGGCCCCTTAGGAGCCCGCGATTGCATTGGCTGAATGAATGAATGAATGAATGAATGAATGAACGAACGCCCAGGAGGGTTACTGTGTACCTAATGCCACACTACACTGCGTGAAAACATTGTTCAGTGAAGAAACAGGCAACTACATGGTAACACCGTGAGGCAGGGCGTTCCACAGCTGTCGACCACTTCGTGTCTTTTCATGTACATTCCACCCATTTTCACAGTAATTGGCCTTCTATACCCGGCACGTGGGCAGGCAGCCTGATGTCAAAGGACACACAGCTAGGTCTGAATTCCAGCCTCAGCCTATCCCGACGCCCCAGGCTCTCCGTTTCCTCCAGGTCAAACGGGGCGACTGGTTGGGAGGACAGGGTCAGTTAATGGAGGTGAGCAGTTTGGGGGAAAAGGCCCTGTCTCCCCTCCAGGAGGAGCAGCATGGGGTCGGGAAGGGGCCCTCGCCACTCACTGTGAGCTCTTGGAAATAGCCTGTAATGTCCGTTCATTCATTCAAACACTCCCGGTAAATGGGTGTTTCCTACTGAGAGGAAGTTTGCACACATCTGCAGCTACCTGTTCGGATGTCGTGGTTGATGCCTTCTACGGAGATGATGGCATCTGGGATTCCTCTTCCATGTAAATCCCTCACCACGCCTTTGATGCCACGATGTACCTGCTCGTCGAACACGACAAGACACAGGGTGAGCTCACCAACGCACCCCACCCAACCCGCATGATAGGAACAATGAACCTACGGCCAGCTCAGCACCACCAGGGATGCCCATGAAGCCCCGCCAAGCTCAAAAGCTCCCTGGCGCTGCGTGGCTTTGGTGTGCACACTTCTGTATTCCTCCTGGGTCCCTGCTCCAGAAGCCTTCCCCGGAGGGAAAATACCTCAGAGGTTTGAAAAATATTAGGGTCTGAGGTGGTTCAATGTTAAAAATCCACTAAAAATGGAATTTTTATACAATTTATTTTAATTTTCCTGTACTGTATGGACTTATTATAGATGTAAGGATCAGAGAGGAAAGAGGAGTCAGACATTCCTGTAAACAACAACTCTGTCTCTAGGGCCCTTCCGCTGATTAGCTGTGTGACACAACACATCAATTCTGAATCTCGTGTCATGGCATTGTTTCCAAAGACATTCTTTGTATCTATTGCTATGCCTGGGCGTTCTTCCACAGGAGGCTCTTTGGCTAAGCTGGGATCATGACTTGAGTAGGAGAAGGAACTTCTCCTTTTTTCATTTTCCTCACAAAGTCTCAGGGAGGAGACAATGTGCTCATGGCTCCCCAAGGGTGAAAAGACAGTTCACGGTCTCTGTGCCTGCTCAGCGCACTGTGGGCTGCACTGACCCTCTGGGATCCTTCACTGGGCTGACTCGGGTGCTAGGACCTGGGTCAGCCTCAGCCACCGGCGTGGAGCTGCAGGTGCAGGAAGGTGGCAGCCCAAGCCGTGGCTGGATGCTCCTTGTGACTCATCTACGACACCCAGGGAAGAAGGGGCAGGCTCGGTGTACAGCCTCAAGTCTTACTTCTGAATGGACGGGAATCATGATAGAGTCATATTACAGGTTCGAAATCCATTTTTGTTTATTTCTCTGCTTTCCAGTGAGTCTGTTCCTTAGTGGGGCAGGGATGTTATTGGGTAAGTTTTAGTACCAGGCCAGTACACTCAGTGCTACCAGGCACGTCCTTGAGAGCAGGAGGCAGGGAAGGGGGGCGAGGGACCTTGTGTGTACAGCAGCCCCACCCTCCCCCCAACTGGCTGCAAGGGGAACCCTGAAACTTTGAGGGACACTTGTTAGAACTGCTCCCAGAGGCACACCCTGCCCCCTGCAGCAAGACTCTTCAGACTGAGGGCTGTTATGGGCTAGATTGTATCCCCTACACATTTCATATGTTAAAGTCCTTACCCTCAGTCCCTTAAAGTGTGACTGCATTTGAAGAGAGTATCTTGAAAGAGATGATGAAGTTAAAATGAAGTCATCAGAGAGAGCCCACATCCAATTTGACTGGTGTCCTTACAAGAGGAGGAAATGTGGACACACAGAGATGCCGGGACTGTACACCCACAGGGGAAGGGCCATGTGAGGTGACAGGGAGGTGGCGGCCAGCTGCAGCCAAGGACAGAGGCCTCAGAGGGAAACCAACCTGTAGGCCCCTTAATCTTGGACGTGTAGCCTCCAGAACAGTAATTTCTGTTTAGGCCCCCAACCTGTATATTTTGTTATGCAGCCCTAGCTGACTAATATAAGGAGCCTGGACATGTCACTTCCCTGCTCACAGAGCAGTATCTGAAAACTCCCTGGACTAGTCTCACCCACCATGAACCAATGGGAGCGATCATAGAGCTGACACAGAGCTCACTGGCTTGAGTCCAAGCAAGTGCAAATAGACGTTGGTTCCTTCTCACATTGTGAGGCCAGCCCAGGATGATGGTGGCCCAGGACCATGGCCACACTAATTTGATCTCTCACTTTTGGCCACCTAAAGGGCCTCAGTCCTTAGCTAATCCCCCACCGCAGCATGGGCCCACGCCAAACCTGCTCCATGAACACGATTAAGGATTCTCGGTTATTCTCCCACTCCTCGGGCAGCTGGCTCTCGTGCGGGAATTTGTCACAGCCCACGTAGATGGACAGCTCGAAGCAGTTGGTATGAAGGTAGCTGAAATCGTTGAGACCTACAAGCCAACCAGACAACATGTGACTCAATAAGGCCCGAAGTGGCACTGGAGAGACAGCAAGGACATGCAAGAACATGATTCAGAAGGCATCATTTGAACAAGGAGGTGTCAAGTATCTACTAGAGACAAAAAGTTAATTAGAGCAAGTATCAGGGGCCAGGTTTGGGGCGTTGAGAGAGGATGCAGCCGAAATGGTTTCTGGGAAGACAGGCACTTACGCAAGCATCTTTGACAAAAGGAGAACTGAAGTAAGTGCTTTTCAGATAATACTCTCTTATTTTCTTAAACTGAGTTTAACACTACTTTTAGAACAAGGGTATCATTAATTAACAGCACAGATTTTTAGTATTTAATTAATCTCTATAATTATGCTGCTGTCAGCCACAGCTCTGTAAAAGTTTTCTATTCTTATTCATAAAAGCAGCTGTCCAGACCAGCGCTACCTGAGCACTGTACGTAAGCCTGCACCTTCTCCGCTAACTCTTAGGTCACTGAGTCTTCTCCACAAACCAGCAGAGAGGCAGGCAGCATAGCACAACTTTACAAATAAGAAAATTGAGGCAGCCCTGGCTGGTGTGGCTCAGTGGATTGCACCAGCCTGCGAAGGAAAGGGTCGCCGGTTCGATTCCCAGTTAGGGCACAGGCCTGGGTTGTGGGTCAGGTCCCCAGTAGGGGGTGCACAAGAGGCAACTGCACACTGATGTTTCTCTCTCTCTCTTTCTCCCTCCCTTCCCCTCTCTCTAGAAATAAATAAATAAATCTAAAAAAAGAAATCAAGAAAATTGACACAGAGAATGGGTAAGAAATACATCCAGAACTGTGTGCCTAGAAAGGGCGAGCCAGGGTTGGAACCCGGCATGCTGCTCGGAGATGGCAGGGCAAAGGCACTCACTGCTAAGCCCCAAAGCAGACCAGCCCTGCGCATCCTCACGTGACCACAACTGGATGTGAAGGACCCTGCCTAACATGGAACTGGTCCCTGTATTCTCTCCTGCTGCTGTTACAAGTGACCACAAACTGAGAGCTTTAAACAATAGGATTTGGTCTCCCCATAGCGCTAGAGGCCAGAAGTCTGAGGTCAAGGTGTCCTCAGAGCTGCGGCCCCTCCAAAGGCTCTAAGGGAATGTCCTTCCTGCCAATTCCAGCTGCTGGTGGCCCCTGGCATTCCTGGGCTTCTGGCTGCATGGCTCCAGTCTCTGCCCCTGTCCTCACATGACCCTCTCCTCTTCTGTTGCTTATAAGGACATTTTTCAGTAATTTTAGGGCCCATCCAGTTGACCCAGAGTGACATCATGAAATGAACCGCACCTGCAAAAGACCCGTTTTCCAAATAAGGTCACATTTGCAGGTTCTGTAGATTAGGAGGTAAACATATTTTTAGGGGGTGCGGGGCGCTGCCAATCAACCCACTGCCGTACCCAACATCTGGGAAAAGGATAAATGAACGTTAGGCGGCACAGAGTCCCCGTGGCTCTCCTCCTACCATTTTGGTTTTGGAGAGCGGGGTGATTAGTGAGAACAGCGCAATGACGTTCCGCGTGGTCCCCAGGAAGCTCACCCGGCAGAGGTGCCTCTGAGGCGCTCTGAGGGTCACGGGTACAGACAGCGGAGTGGGTGGCCTGGGTTTCTCTGTGTTGACTGAGAGAAAGAGCAGGTCCTCCGTGACTCGACCCGTCTCAGTCCTCACCTGTCCTGTCTTCCCTTGCTCCTCACTTGGCTCACCATAGTGCTAAGTGATGCACCGCTTGACATAAATGTGTGATTAAAAGTCATAACTTTGGACATCAAGAGCAATTCTGTATCAGTCTGCTGCCTAATCTCTAAAGTCACAGGCAAAATGATATAAAACATATGGTCCCTCTATTGGTTCCAGATTCAAACCATTCACACGTCATCAGCCACAACACGTGTAATAAACAAGGACATGAGCGCCGTGGAGTAAGAGTGGGACGGTGTCAAGTTCATAGAGAATCCTCCCCAGGGGCCTGGTCTGGTTGGAGAAGGTCGGTGCAAAGGCCAGGCCCGCGCACTCAGCGGAGCGCCAACTGTGGAGTTACGGGGAACGCCCGCAGGGGGCCAGCCAGCAGCACAGGCAGGCAGGATACTGGGGTGTGACTGAGAGAGCTCTTCCCGAGCCATCAGTCCTGGCTGGCGACAGCAAGACACTTCCTGTGTTCTCTCCTTGCCAAGAACCCTGCCCTGGTCACAAGCTCCCACATGGAGCCCAGAGCTCTGCGTGCGCAATGCTGTCTGCACACTGGCCTTCCTTGTGGGGGAGGGCGCAGGAACAAAGGGGGTCTCACGTCACCTGGGACTTAGAGAACACACAGCACAAGCGATGTGCCTTTGGAGAGGCACAGAGCCCCGCTCTCCGGGAACTAACGCTCCTCAGCGCCACGCTAATGAGTGAGCGAGACCTGTGCAGAGAGGCGCGCAGAGGCGGAGGGGGAGGCGAGGAAATGAGAAATCGCATTTCATTAATCCACAAAGAAATGAATCTGCAGGCTTCATCACACCGCCAGGAGGAAGAATGATTAAAGGGGCTTAGGCCACCCCATGGCTCTGCCGCACAAGTCCCTGAAAGAATGGAAAATGTAATTGATAGAAAAAAAATTAAACGCCGCCGATGTGACTGCGTGGCAGCCAACGGTTCAAAGCGTTACCGTTGACCTGACGCTGAGAAAGACAGCCGCGCCCACTCCCAATGTGTCACAGCAGCCAGAAAAGTAAACACACATTTCACTAAAGATTATTGCAGGTTTTGGGGGCTAGAACTGAAAAGCAAGAAGGCTTTTTGACCATTAGGAAGTTTTCTTGCCAGATAGGGATTTGCATTTTTTTTTTTTAAATTTTGTACAGAGCAAAACCGTGACAGAGATAAATTAAATGTGCCTCTGCTTGGTAAGTAACTACAAAACATGGCAAGCTTTCATGTTTTAACATGGCCACAGAAATGAGTATTTCTGCTACTTTTTATTTTCCTTTTCCTGAGGGTGGAAGCATACCTGAAAAGTATGCGAAGGCTGAGTCTCCGGCAAAATAAAGTAACAGCCACGTTCATTGGTAGGCTATGCTCCTGAGAGAGGCTTCGTGGGTTCCATTGGCTAGGAATTCACCACAACTGCGTGTTTCCAACAAGCCAGACGTGGAGCAAACGAACGTCTCTCACCTGCACAGTCCTCACAAGAGTCCTAGAGGGGCCACCATCACCAGTCATCACCATCGTCGCTGTCATTGTGCCCATTTTACACAGGAAAGATACGGGGGTTCAGAGAGGTAAAGTAACGAGCCCAGGGCCACAGAGCACCCAACTGAGGAACCGAATTTGAATCCAGGCCTATGTGACATGGGATGTTTTTCAAATTCATCGGTGGTTTGACCAACCCTCACAAAGTCAAGGAAATGAGCAATGAACACCGTGCTCAGGGTCCTGCCACCTCAGTCCAGAGGGACCTCAGGGAATGTGGCATCTTTATCCCCTCTCCTGGGGAGCCCTGGGCCAGAAGCAAGTGCTTAACCTGAAAATCAGACCGGAAGCCTCTGCGGCCAGCCTGTGCCGACCGCGGGGTCAGCAGCCACACCACGCAGCCCCCTCGCGCACTCAGCGGGGCTGCCCCCAGACGCCGCCGCACGGCTAGGGGAGCCCGCCTGCGGACCTCCGGTGGACAGGCGGTGTGCGAGCCAGCCTTGCCCCCGCCGCCGGGCCTCAGGACACACCTGCAGCTCGGAGCCGCTTCACTCCTGCGCGTGGGATCCACGCCTGGCCCCTCCGCGGGCTTGCCGCGCAGGACGTCCTCCGCAAGGGGAACCGCGCCGGCGCGCTCTCTGCGCCTTTGCTTTTTGGTCAGGTATTTCCCCACGTCCACGTTTGCCCACCTCTGACCCTATACAATCCGCAATGCTCAGTGGCTAAGAGCAGACCCCGGAGCCTAACAGACCCCAGCCCTGCCCCTTTTTCGCCCGAGGAACACCCCTTCCTGTGCCCCAGCTCTTGTTATTTATAAAACGGGAACCAGCCACGCCCCCTCCAAGGCAGGTAAGGATGAAAGGGGGTTCTGCAGAGGGCCAGGACCTTTGAGGGGTTAAAACTGGGGTGCCAGTATTCTGATACGCTAACGGGGGGGGGGGATGGTTAGGAGGAGGTGGCCCGCAGGGCCCCTCCCTGTCACGCTGTCATTGGCCCCGTGATGACAGCCAGATGATCAGAGACTTACTTCCGGCCGCAGTGTGCCAGGAAGCCCCGTTGACAGTCCCGTCCTCCTTCTGGAAGTCCTCCGTGTGGCACACCCTCCTCCTGGTGTCGGTCATGAGGCGATGCGTGGAGGCGTAGGAGTAGGCCAGCCAGCGGAACACGTGGTCGTCGGGGGTGGGCGTGCGCTCCTGCGTCCTCCACAGGGACCTCACCATGTCGTAGGGGTAGGCCACCACCAGCTCGCCCCCCTGCAGGTTGCCGCCCAGCACGAAGGGGATCTTCTCCATCCAGGCGATGACGGCCCTGGTCTCCACCGCCACCTGCGAGCATTCCAAATTAAGCGCTTGGAGGGATCAGAGCAGAAGGAAACTGCCTCTTCTCTCCCTAGCGTTCCCAACAGGGACAAGGTTGGAAAGGCGGTGATGTCACAGGAGACACTTGGGGAAATCTCGGATTTCAAAATCTGTCCTGAAAAGGAACTGGACTTTGTAGAAATGATGGATTTACAGAAGAGAAATCCCGGGAAGCTTCTGTGTGTAGGAATATTCCAGTTCATGACAAAGAGGGAAGGGCAGAATTCGAGTGTCGAGATTTTGCAACTCCGGTGACAGTGGGTGGGCTGGGTTCATCATTGGCCACCGAGAACCCAGAGAGAAACACAGCCACACACACCATGCCTCCTGATGGAAGAACAGGGGCCTCAAATATATTAACCCCAAGTCAGGCCAAGCCCCTAGCCCAGACTTGTAAAGGACTGGGCAGTGTGCACACATTTTAGACTTTGTGGGCCACACCGTCCCTGTCACGATTACTCATCTCTGCAGGGACGCCCTGTAGACAATACGCAGATGAATGAACAGAAGCTGGGTTCCAATAACACACCATTTACAAAAGCAGACCTGGGGCGGTGGGGGGGGGGGGGGGGGGGGCTGCGGGCTGGAGGTTGCCAGTCTCCATTCTAATTAGCCTCGTCTAGTCTGGATTCACTGCCAATTTACAAGGAACAGAGGGATATGTGACATGACCTCATAAGAATACAATTAGCTGAACCCAGACAAGGGGAAATATTACAAGGCTATCTAGCTGTTTATAACCCCGTTGTTACAAGATCAACAACAATAAAATTGCAAGGGAAAAAGAAAGTGAGAGGAGAAATCTGTCATTTAAATGAGACTTAAAAGATTATAAACGAATCAAAATGAATGGGCTTTATTTGGATCCTGCTTTAAATGAGCTGAGGGAGACGGAATGATAGCAACAAAAGTTAACGACTGGCTAGACATTTTATAATATTAAGATGTAATTTATTTTTAGATGACAATGGTAATAATTCTGGGTTTTAAAAGAGAGTCCCATCTTTTAGAGAAAGTAAATATTTACCAATGAAATGGTACTGCGCCTGGCATTTGCTTCAGTAACTGGGGGCGGCGGGGAGAATGTGGCTGAAGGAAGAGGGCCACTGGTGATGTTAGAAACTAGTATTGGGACGCTTGATATGGGCAAATACTGATCAAATGAGTGAGCTATTTGTCAAAAGTTTCAAGTTACTGATCCCTGTGAAGATAATTCCAGCAGAATAAAATCAATAAGGAAAAATAAACACTGGAAATGATTTAAGTGAGCTTGCCACGTGCTTGCCTGAAGCCTGCCATTTCCCTCCCTTCCCTGCTGTGGGTGGGTATCTTTTGACTAAATTCTCGTCCATGAAATCTAAGCAGCAGTATTAGGTAGGAATGCCAGGAATGCCTCTTCAAGGGACTGAATTATCCGAGAGGAGGGCTTCTCTTTAACCCTTTCTCTTCTCTTCCTTCACCGGCACAACAGCCGGAGCACTCCCACTGCTACCTCGGATTATGACTTTGAGGATGAGAGTCACATGCTGACAAGGTGGCAGCAGAAAGATGGGCGAGTCCCTGGTTCCTGATGGTCGTGGGGCTTCCACTTGGCCAGCCACGTACCGTCCGCCTCCAGGCTCCTTTTATGTGAAAAAGGAAATACACTTCTACCCTGTTAAGCCACAGTTTCTTGATTTTTTTCCTGCTGTTGTGGCGGAACCTCACCCCAACTCACAGATACCTCTTCAGGGACGTACACATTCAAAGACGGGGTAAAGACCATGGGCAAAGAAGGCAATAAAAGGCTGTGAAGTTCTGTGAAAACTATTTCTTCTACAACATACTCTTTAAGAAACAAGACCTAAGAAATTTGGGGGAAAGAAACATATTTTACCCAATTGCATTTTTCCTGCCAAAAAAGCATCCCATGTAATAAACCTGTCGGGAGTTACTAAAATAAAAATGAGATATCTCCAGCAATCAGTGAGGGCTGAGGACAATTTCGTAGCAGTAGAACTGCTAAAAGTGGGGGTACTAACAGTAATTGCAAACATGCAAAATGGGGATTTTGTTAAAAGCACTGTGTTCTTATAAAGGAATGTAATTAAATGATTTTTTATAAAGAATCTGCTCAAATATCAACTTGGAAGGTATTTTATAATCTAACGCATGTCTCTAGGTTTGGAGAAAACTCGTAAAAGAAGCAATGGTTTTGTCTCGGGCCTCCAGAGACGCCAGTGGGCGTTCACTCTGGCCTCCCGCGGCTCTGCAGGCTATGGGTATTTTGCTCACCGTGGCGTTCTCAGACAGAAACCACTCGGGGATGGCAATGTAGTGGTTGGGGACTTTCCTTGGGGTGTTCTGTCGGTCCTCTGCCTCCCAGAGCAGCGTGTTGAGGTCAGGAAAGTTGTTGTTGATATCAATGCCATCATGGGTCCAGCGTCCCAGGGACCAGCCTCCCAGCTCCGAGCCCTGGGAGCAAATTCAGAGTGAGAGGCGCCCAGAGACCGCCGGCCCGCACCGACGCCGCCACGCGCGTCTGGGCTGTGTCCCCACGCCTCGGCACACCCTCAAAGGCAGATCCAAAGCAGAATGTGGAGACTCCTTCTGATCGCACTCGGTGGCTGATGGATAACACAGACACAGCCAAATACTGCGAGAGAGGGGCTCCTGCCGCATGGCAGTGCTCAGAGCGTCCGAGGTCCCTTCTTCCCCTCCCTCCCCCTCTGAGAGCTCCCACACTGTCGGACGAACGCTGGCTGATGATGAATCTGAAAGCTCGTCCTCGCAAAATCGACAGCCTCCCTGTCCGGCCCTGAGTCCTGACTCACAAATCCCTAAGCGGCTGGCTCCACAAATCCCTTTTTGTATCGATAAACATAACCAGCATTCTGTCTCGTTGATAGATAGCGTGGTTTTAAGCGCAGTGTTCCATTTTATTCCCAAATAATACTAACTCTAGCCTATACATAACTGTAACCTATACAAATTCTACGTCATCCTCAGAACATGAAGCACACACAACGTATCAGAACGCTGAAACGACTCCCCTGAGAAGGCTGAGGAGAGCTTTACCAGTGAGACTCAAGGCCCGTGCCTGCCTGGATTAAGTGCTCATGCGAGGTGTCATTACTCTATCCTATCATGACCATCGTATGTATAACAGAATTATTCGCGTTCGCTTTCTCCAGTCTGTTAACATGTGTCCCCTCAGGGTCCCTGTAATTCTCAATTCTGCTTTTGTATCTTTTGTAAACCTTGTGGTGTCCCTGCCTGAGCAGCGAGACTCAACAAGGAAGCTCCAAGTGTGGGTTGCTATTTTATTATTATTATTATAACTATTATTATTATTTTTAGGGGAGGAACATTGATTTGTTCCACTTATTGATGCATTCGTTGGTTGATTCTTGCATGCCCCCTGACCAGGGATCGAACCCGCAACCTTGGCGTATCTGGATGGTGCTCTAACCAACTCAGCTACCCGGCCAGGGCCCGAGGGATCTGAACCCCACGACGAGCGCACTGTGTGTCTGGGCCCTGCTCTCGCGTTGGGGTTGGGGCGCGGGGCCATTACCCCTTCGTAGGCCTTCTCGTAGCCGTCGGGGTTGAGGGAGGGCACGATGTGAATGCGCGTCTCCTCCACCAGACGGACGATGCGCGCATTGCCGGCCAGGTACTCCTGGCACAGGAACTGCACCAGCAGCAGCAGCAGCTCGCGGCCCAGCACCTCGTTGCCGTGGGCCCCCGCGATGTAGTGGAACTCGGGCTCACCTGGACTCAGGGCGGGAAAGGGGCGGGTTCCGGTCAGGTGCTCGCAGCAAAACAATTCCTACCTCATTGTGCAGGGACAAAAAGAGATCTCTGAACAATATAAACTTACAACCTTAGCCCCGTGGGCTCTTTCAAATAAACCTCCAAAATGTGATCAGTGTAATTTTTTATTCCCAAGTAGGTAACTAAGAAAATGTGTAGAAAACTCTTAGATGCCACCAACCCCTGGGCACTAATGTTTATTCCTATTTGGCAAGAAAAGAGAACAAGGACACTGGGCGGAGGGTTTAAATTTACAAATTAAACACAAGCCACAGAACTTATTTTTCTGTGTGGGGAGGCAATTATTTTTCTTAAAAAAACTTCTTATTGAATTTCACAAGGACACAAAGATGAATAAGCACAAGCAGAAGACAGTCCGGAAGGGCAAGTCCGCAAGGACAGTTTTGGAAAGGGCTGAGTTTGAGCTTTTTCTCGTCCAAGGCTCAGCTCTTTCAGCGCTGGGCAGAGAGACAGCCCTTCTTCCCCGCTCACTGCCCAGCCACCGCCTTTGCGGTGATGGGGCTTTACAGGCAGTTGAGCCCTTTACAGGAAACTCCTGAGAGGAAGTCTAGAAATACTGGTGAACATTCAAGTTGGACCCATCAGAAAAATCTCTGACTTTAAATACTGGGGATCCCTCAAGGGCTCTCAGATTTATCAGAAGGAAAACCAGGGGAGCCCCTCTGACTGGAAGGGGGGCATGGGCTCGGAGTGGATAATGGGAAATGGCTGAAAATAGGAGAGGCTTAAAATAGGATCGGAATTTTAAAAAATAATTAGGGACCTCCTTTAACTTGAGCCATTAATGACCAGGGAGTTCAGAATTTTCTCCTAGGAAAGGACTCTGTCCTAACCGTCTCTGGCCATCTTTTTCTTTGGTTAGTGCACTTGGTCTCAGAACAGGATTAAAAACAGGGGAACGGAATTTAAAATGGTCCATCTGGAGAAAAGGAGGGCATTTCTAGCTTAAATGATTCGACAGCCCACGTCAGAAGACAAGAGGCTCGCAGAACGGGTGTTGCAGAATCTGTCCAAGTGAGAACGGTGCGTGGGCGGCTCCTGCCCCGCGCCACAAGAGCTCTCGCGGGGCGAGCCGTCCCCTTTGCTTTAGGAAGGCACCAGGCACAAAGGGACATGCGCGCCCAGAGGGCCACCTCACCGACTTCGTGCTCCCCGGGGTGGTCGGAGATCTCCACAGCGTACAGCTTCAGGCCCTGGTGGCTCTTGCCAATGTTGTAAATTCTGGTGATGTTGGGGCACATTTCACTCACGGCTTTCATCAACTGAAAAACAAAACGGATCCGGGCTCTAAGCAATGACGGCTGTGCACTAAAGGGGGCGGAGCTCTTCCCCAAAGGCAGACACACGCGCCCCTCCCACAGGCCCCCATGCATCCTCCCTCACCACACACGAGTGCTGTTCTCCCCGCCTGGAATGTTCTCCTTGGGCCCCCTCTGCCCTGACCTCCCAGCTCCCCTTGGCTGTGGTTCTCATTTGTTCAGTTGCGACATCACCTCCCTTGGCCGTGGTTCTCACCTCCCTTGGCCCTGGTTCTCACCTCCCTTGGCTCTGGTTCTCACCTCCCTGGGTGGTGGTATCACCTCCCTTTTCACTGTGTTTTTCTGCGCTCTTTTGTCCCCTCACTGGACTGCAGATCCTTTATGGGATAGATGGAGCCTCTTATCTCTATATCCCTGCCTACACGCATATTTATTACCGAATACCAACTTTCCTTCATGACTTAATGAGCATCTATGACGTCAGGCTGAGGAGACAGGCACTGCTCCGCCCTGGAGCTCACCGTGCAGCCGCAGGTGGGAGTCACAGGATGGGACTCGTGGGCGTGGTTAGCGGGCGGGGGAAGCAGGCTTCCACAGGGAAGAGTGATACATGCGTGTTGTTTTCCGAATTTTAGAGTGGGCTCATCAGACTGACAGCGGCCGTCTGAGGGGAGGGACAGGCTGCTGAGGAGGAAAGGAGGGCTCTGCCTCTAGCAGGGCACAAGCTGCCCTCCGGGGACAGGGAGGAAGGACAGAGACATCCTCTCCTGAGGTCACCTCGCTGCCCATCTCTGAACGGGGACCCGCGAGAGGCCTGTTATGTGGTCTGGAGCTGCAGGGCCCACGTGAAGTCGCGCAGCCATGCCCACAGGAAAGACCAGCCTCGCTGCTGGTGGGTGCAGGCGCAATGGGTCGATTCCCAGGCCATGTGTTAATGACCAGGGGTGGCGGGGGGCGGGTGGGGGGAAGCTCAGATGCCATAGAGGCAGCGAGGACAGACATCCCTGCCAGGGAAGTGAGCGGGCAGGTGTCCATCAGAGAGGGCTTCCTCCTTTAGAAAGGGGACAGAAGCTGGGGTGCTGGTGGCCGGAGGAAGGCATGGCCCATGAGGAAGGTGTGGACCTGGATGCCCTCAAACCATTTTTCAAAAAATTCTTGACCAGCCAAATTATCCATAAAATATCTTTGTAAATTATAAATAAGCACACCTGTTGCAAATTCTATAGTGGGTTAAAAATTATGAAGACTAGAAAATGGGTGGTACATGGAAGTTAAAATACAATGGAGCCCCACTGCGGCGTGCTTCATTTGCCTTTCATAACATCGCGCTCTGCGCTCACAAGGCATCAGCAAGCCTTCTCTGGAATGGAGGGATTTCCAGCCGGAGGGCTCTGTTCTGTGACATGTCCCCAAGGCGCTGCAGGTGCAGCCATGGTCAGGGACGCAGGGTCTAACTCTTTCCTGGGGCAAACCTGCCTCCCCTCTGTAACAACTCACTTTGTGCTACAATATCCAGGTGAGAGAGCAAGAGAGCTGACTGTAGCAGACTCTTGTCCACGAGAGGGCAAGAGCAGAGAAACCCGCCGCGCGTGGACAATGGGCACGAAGAGCAATGTCGCCTCTACATCCATCACTGCGGGCAATCCCTGGCGCAGGTGGGGATGGAGCCACACACAAGATGCAGCAGGCTTTCACAACAGAGGTGGCAAGAATGGCAGTAAGAACGTTGACAACTGCAGAAAGAACGTGTTCCATTTCTGTCGCTCGCAGTAATAACGCGTCCTGTTTCTCTACTGAATCTCACGGCGTGGCCACCAGACGATTGTCCCCATTCTACAGATACGGAGACTGAGGCTGACAGAGACACTGAGTGATCTGCCCAGGGAAGCCCTGCTGGCACCAAGGGGAGCCAGGGCTCTGGGGAGCCAGGGCTTTGGGCCTGTCGGCAAAGGTGCAGCACAGCAAGGAAAAGCAGCCCATCCCTGCTGCCGGTTTTTCTGAGGCACACTGCGACCGTTCTGCAATATGGCCACAGCACACTCGCCATCTGATCCGGGGCCCTGTGCGCTAGGGCCTGCTGGTTGCACTCTCCGCTTCCGGCAGCGACCTCGACGAAGCCTGATCGGCGAGGGACACGTGCACCATCTGGCAATCCGGCCGGTAATGAGCCCTGCAGACACAGAGCCACGCGGCCCCTCCTTGACTAGGCCACGGAGGCCGACGCGCAGCGCAGAGCCTGGCTGTCGCTTATGCCCACCCCTCACGCAGCTGCGGCAGAAACATGCCACCTGTGTTAGAGGTCACGACCTTGACACTGGAGAAGGACGAATACCGTCGTCGCTGGGATGCACTCTGAGCCATGGGTCGTCTCTCCGTCTGGGATGCTCTCAGCCACGAGTCATCAGCCCTCTGTCCAGCCTACCCACCGGTCAGTGTCTACACCGCCAGCCACGTTTTCCCTCCCTGAGTCATGGTAATAGAGTATGTTACTGTGTTGTCACAAGCATCTTCTCTACACACAAGAATGAGAACACTGGCAGTTGAAAGATAATTTTTACAAGGTTCTTGACAATCCTCTGTGCGCAGTGGCCTGCTACGGCTTCCCGGTGGCCAGCTGTACCATAGGAGCCCTGGGTGACGACCCGCCGCGCTTGTTCCCGAAAATAGCCAGAGACGATTTTGTGGAGTTTGGGTCTTGGTGGTAAATGTTTGGGTCTTGATGCATCCTGAGAGGGAGGACTAGAATTTTTTCATGGCCTTAGAGCAGCTATTTTCAACTTTTTTCATCTCAAGATACATATAAACTACTAAAATTCTCTGGCACACCAAAAATATATTTTTTGTCAATCTGACAGAAAAAAAAAATAGGTATAATTTTGATTCATTCACACTGGATGGCTGCTGTGTTGGCTGCTGTCATTTTTTTTGTGTTTGACAATCTTAGGGAAAAGAGGTCAGTGCCCCTGACTGAACAGCCAGGTGTTGGGCGTTTTAAATTCTTGCGGCGCCTGCGCTGCAAATCGCTGCCTGAGAGTGTGCGTTCTCAACGGGGATGACGCCACCTCCAGGGAGGTGGAAACGAGCTCTTGAGGGCTAAAAGTTTTAGATATGACAATACTTTGTGGCCCTCCAAAGCTCAACCCTACCCAACAAAATAGTAGGGGAGGGAGGCTAATTAATTAAAGTATCTATCTAAACAGCCTGCTTAGGAGGGCGCTAAGGAAACGGCGCCGAGAACCAGCGCCCCAGAGGGCACCCGTGTGTGCGAGACTCGCGGCCTCGTCGAGACCCCATGTCCTCGTCTCTGCGATGGGAGTAAACTTTGCCATCCGGGTACCTTCTGAATTCTGGGCTCCGTTGCTTCCCTCCTCCCCTGACGGAAGAAGACGAAAGAGCCCCCTTTCCAGGACTCTCAGCTTCTGGCAACATATCAGAAGGAAACCGTTCAGAGAGGTTAGCAAAGTGAGGGGCATGACGATAGTCGCTGTGGCGCGCGCTCTAACTTCGGGAGCAGCCCCGGGGCCCAGAGCAGGAAGGCAGCTGCGGGGACGGTGAGGCGTGCGCCACTGGCACATTCTGCAGAATTACAATTAAATCAGGAAGGCAGCGTGGCACACGGCTAAGGATCCCGGATAAACCGAGAAAAGCAGGGCAAAGTCCTAATCATCCTCTAAACAAAACCGTGTGAACCCCGTGAACACAGAGATTAAAACATGGGGCAGAAAATGGGGGCGAGGCGGGGGCGGGCAGGGGACACACGAAAACCGCCGCTCCCTGAGGTCAGTGAGTACGTGGATGGCTAACGTTCAGGCTTTTGGCTTGCACTTCATGTTGCTAGAACGTTGTTTATCCAATGAGTTAAAATGTTCAAGAGGAAAAAAGAGAAAGTCTTCTTCCTCCATCTTCGCTCCTCTGTCTGAGAGACACTGCATCTGATCAAATGGAAGAGGAAGTCCAGAGAGACAAGGGAGGAGAGAGGGAATCACAGCAGAGAGGCGCCCGTGGGTGGGGAATGGGAGTGCGCGGGTCTGGGTTCGCGGGCCAGCTGCCCCGCCACCGTCACCCCCCACCCTTCCACGGGCAGGCTGCTCTTGGAGCAGGGGAGCAGGCGCGGCCACTCCCTTGCACACCAAAGTCAAATCAACCTTTTCCTCAAAACCACCCCCTTCCTCCCTTTGTGGACGGTACCCCACCCCCTAGGAAGCACGCCAGTCCCCTCTCTCTCCCCAGCTCTCTCCCACAGCCGACCTAGGATAAGCCAGTCCCCCTTAGGAATGCCTCTCCCCTTCGCCTCCTCCCCCCCCCCCCCGCCCTCCCCGGGAGGTCCCCCTCCTGGGGACTGGGCAGCGCCTGCCAGTCTGCTCTCCGTACAACTTGCAGACTGACCTCCCCGAGCTCTGCTCACATAGCAACCGCCTGTACTGCTCAGACTCGGCACAGAGGCCTCTCCCAGCAGACGGCCCACTGGTCCAGAGACACGCCACCTGCCCCTCGCTCTGCACCGTGGCTCTCGCTGCTCCCACTGCTCGGAGCCCCCTCGTCCGTCTCTGCCTGCCCAGCCTGGCCCATCCCATCTCAACCAAAGCCCACCCCACCATGGCAACCAAGCCAGACTTTTATCCCTCCTGCTCCCCAAGCATCTGCCCTGGTACGACCTTAAATAGACATTTACCTAGTACACATTATGAATTTATGACAAAATGAGTCTCTGGCCTCATGGTTCCAAATGCAGATGTAAGGTACAAGCAGACAAACACGTGCTAAGCACTTATAAACCCGGACGCATGCTGTGCAGGCCTTCAGCTCTCTGGGAATAATGAACTCATTCTGCCTCGGGACACCCATGTCTGAGCAATGTCGTCGTCTCCCGTGCCCTGGCCTGGGGAGAACGGGGCCTTCCCGGTCACTGCTCCGGAAGAACCTCCTGCCCACGGGAAGCACACCGTTCTCAGGACTTTCCCCGCCCAAGGTGGTGCGTGTTTCTCTTTTTCTCTTCTGTCTTCCTGCTGCTGTTTCTCATTTCTTATTTGTTAGGAATGCCTCTGTCAATTCTAGGATAAACTCCCTTGTTTTTCCCCTGAAGCAGAAAGGCGTCTGCAGCGACCTAGCAGACTCCAGATGGGAAACTGCTAAACGTGCTGGCTGCTGTCCCACCCTCGGGAGCCAGGGCCCCAAGCGGCATGTCACCTCCCACAGAGCGTCCTGCAGGGCTGACAGATGCTCCGCAGTGGAGGGCTGCTGGGCCCTGGGACCTCAGGGGGTGTCCACCGTCAGCAGCGGGGCTGTACTGACCACGCCCAGGCTTCTCTTCGCTCAAACATCTACTGCAAATGGCGCCCAGAGCTGCCCATGTAATGAAGCGCAGCCCCCATCTCTTCTTACAGGGGAAGCGCCCCGGTTCTGCATGTGAGCTGACTACTCAGAGGCACTCGCCACCTGGACTCTGTGCAGCTAGCTCATTCTGAAATGCATTTAGAGCGGTGCTTTTCACATTAATTGCACCAAGTTGATCTTTGTCAATTCCTGGGCTCAAAGGACGTCCTGAGACGTTCAGCGGGCAAAGCTGAGTTGACACACGCGCACTCCATGGGGGGGGGGGGGAGCAGCGAGCGGAACCATGTCAAGCCCCAGCATGGAGAGCAGCAGAGCGGTTTACCAACCTCAAGTCCAAACACGTTACCGGGATTTCTGAAGAGCAAGACAGCAAGACAATTTCTTTGGCACATCCCGCCCCTAAGTCTGTGCTGACAGGTGTCTGGAAGCTGTGCAAATGTCTCCAGTTAAGTGACATGGAGACAAATAGGGTTCGTTGGCTCCCTTGGATGAGCCACAGAGCCCTCTGGGCTCAGCCTAATGGCACCGGCCTCTGGAACGCCCCTGAACTTGCTCCCGGTGGCTGGGTCCTTTTCTCAGCGCCTAAGAGCCCTTACTTTCAGCCATGTTAGTTTGGCCTCAGTAAACCCTTGTCCTGTAAATGTATTCATGAGGGCGTTTCTCTGTTTGTTCTCTTCCTTCAAACAGATTCTTTGATATCGCAGATCCTGAACAGGATTTCGGAGGCAAAGCATTTAGCATAGGGACCGCTCTTTCAGCCTGTCCTAAAGAACTTCTGATCTCTTCTCCCTCGCGCACATGCCGACCATAGCTCAGAATTCCTTGGTTTCCATAATTAAGCAGGGGGCGCTCATCTGGGATTGCCAGCTCCCCCTCATAGTATGGAAAGGACTCAGAGCTGGAAGGGTATCAGCCAGAGGGAATGAAGCAGAACCACACACTAGAATCATAAGGAGAGCTTTAAAAATTTAGACCCCCCACCCATCTGCTGAAGATTTTGCTTTAATTGGCCCCCAGGAGGGGTTCAACTATAGGTATTTTTCCAGTTTCCCCAGGTGATTTTAATATGCAGCCAAGATAGAGAATCAGAGAATCTAAATGACAAAGGGCAGGGTTATGTATGCTCAGCGACTCAGTTTCCCCTTCTGTAAGGAAAGGATTACAAGTTCCCACCTGCCCAGGCTGGCTGGGAGGACCAGCCACATTAACACAGGTAGCGGAGGTAAAGAAGTGTGGTTGCCGCTGCTATTGCCACCATCGCTGTTATTCTAGATCCTCTTTCTTCCTTGACTCTCCACGTGACCGACATGCTGAAATCAGTGAATCACCCAAACCCAAAGAGATTCTTGAGAACTAGAGTATTCAGTCAGAAACGTCTAGGGTTGGATTCTATTTCAACCATTTGCTGGAGAGGGAGCCTTACTCTAGTCACGTGCATGCTTACATTCTCAACCTCGAAACTACACGCATCTCGTGTGGCTTCAGCAAGCCAAAGTGGCCATTCAGATTCTGTCCCAAGCACGTCATCCTAACTTCTGAAAATAACCCCCTGCGTGCTTCTGGCTGGACACATGGCCTGGGGCTCCCTGACAGACCCCGGCTTTACCTGGCGCATTTCCTTGTAGTTGTGGTGCCTGAAGTCCAGGTCGTCCGTGGTGGTCATCTCATTCCGCCGGTGATAATAGTTGTTTGGATCTAAGGGAGAAATACGGTTTTGAATTCATCGGCATCACTCTAATCCTTGTGGTGGCTCTGTTGGGTGCCTGATTCATGTGAGGACACAGCCCAACCTCCAGCTTCTAACATTCCCACAGAGTTGAGAGAAACAACTTTCTAGAAGCTTGTTACAAGTCAGAATTACCCAGTGAGGGAGAGTGTGGGCCCCGACCAGGATGCCTGGGCTCCAATCTCTGCCTTTCCAATTACACGCTGCGCAGCACTGGGCACACACACGCTGGAGAGTCTTTGCTTTAGTTTCTTCACCCATAAACAGAGACATACTGGCTCCTCTCTCACTGGTGTATTGCTGGTGTTACTTGGAATAATCTGTGTGTCTGGCAAACTGCCAGCACTGAATGCATGAACAAATAAGTCAATGAATGAATGAACGAGTCAGTGAGTGAATGAATGGCACACTGTATGCATACATGGAAATTTTTGGAAGTGTGTTGGAGTCGTTTCCCCAGCTGTCAGTCCTTTGTTACCCTTCCTCACAGGCCTGTGTCATTTGGGAACCCCTTCTCCAGTTCTTGGAGACAGACCTCACAGCCCAGCTGCAGGCATCCGACGGGACTGGTCTAAGCCAACCAGAGGTGCTTTATTTTTTTTTAATTGTATTTATTGATTTAAGAGAGAAACAGAGAGAGAGAGATGTGTTGTTCCACTTATTCATGCACTCATTGGTTGATTCTGGTATGTGACCTGACCTGGGATCGAGCCCACAACCTTGGCGTCTCCGCTCAGTGCTCTAACCAATGGAGCTACCCAGCTGGGGCCAGAAGACAGTGATTCAGACAGGTCAGTGTTCTAGCCTGGGAACCACATAAGCAAGGTTGGAACCACAGCAGGTGTCGGTTCGATCCCAGGGCTGGGAGGGCGAGTCTGGAGGCGGAGGCAGTGGCAGGGGAGGCTCCCAGGGGAATCAGCAGCCGTGAATCCTGATTTGTGCCACCAAATGTTGTCCACAGACTGGCGGTGCGGTTGCCTATCAGACCAGCCCAGACCTACTGAATCAGATTAAAAAATCCCAGGTGACTTTGTAGGCTCAGAAGCTTGGGAAGTACCGTGTGAATGTCCTGAGCACTCTGCCAGTAGGGACAAAGGTACACAGTGCACAGTGGCCTGAGCCAGCCACACGCCTGTGTCCCCACAGCTGCAGGTCACGACTGGCTTCACTCTTGAAATTGAGGCCTCACGCATTGAGCTGAAAATCATATACAGACCCCAACAATAAAAAGACAGTTTTTCATACTCTCAAAAGGTTTGCCAGTAATACTATTAGAAACAAATGGCTGTCATTAAAGAGAAATCATGTGAGAGGGCCAGCTGGCACTTTGTCCAGAAAAGAAAGCAAAAGCAATTCAGTGTTAGCCAAAAGTCCCCCCACCCCCACTACTTTTCGAGGCTCTCCTTCAGGGGCTGCAGGCTGGGCGCACCCTCCAGCAAGCCGCCTTCCCTTGGATTCCCAAACCTCTGGGCTTCAAAGCAAAGGTACAGCATACTTTTCACATTAATTTACACTTAACTCACAGACGTGCTGTTTCTAAGAGCTGTTCAACCGCCCAAGTCCCAGGAGCCTCTTTCCAGAACTCCGTAAAGCCCACTTTGCCTCTGAACACAGGTTATGCTTCCAAGGTTCTTCGGAGAGACTGAAGAAAACCCCAGAACTCTAAGAAGAGCCCCATGCTGCGCCCCCTTCTTCCAGCCAGGAGACTAATCAATTTGCCTAATCACATAGGTACAAAGTTCAGAACTGCCTCAAACCACAGTGAGTATTTTTCACAACTTTCTGCCTCCCAAGTTTTGAACAAATCCTTCTTTGGTTGTCCACATATTCTGACTGGATCAAGTTTTATTGGGAACCTGCGTGGGAGTCCAACGCTGTAGGTAAGCGGACGAGTGAGAACCCAGCCTGGTCCTCCTGGGGCCTGGAGTTTCTAGCACGTTTTTATCTTGCAAAACGGAAGCTCTGTGGCCATCAGACAACATTCCTCATTTCCTTCACCTCTGAGTTGTAAGAATTGCCTTAAGAGACCATGCTATAGGGGAAGTCAGCTTCCAGTGCCAAAACTCTGGGAGACACTATTCTGGAAGTCTTAAAAAGAGCCAGAACCTCCCTCTGCCCCACCCGAGAGTCACCAGGATGTGAGGTAAGGGATGGAAGGTCAGAACCAGGGGAAGCAGAAGCAAAGGTAAGTGCATTTCTCCTAATAAAGAATTCCGGGAAGAAGAGAATGAATCTGGGTGGCCACATTTAGACCACAAGGCCACCCTGGGGGTGGGCGACTGAGTTCATGGGGTCGTCCTTGCCTTTGGTCTCATTAACTTACACAAATGGATTGTGCAGACCACAGAGCAATGAGCGTGGAGATGTGGGGGGCCTGGCGCCCCCAGGCCCCCACAGGTGACCGCCACTACCAGGCAGCGTGGGTTCAGGCCAGCTCCCTTCTGGGCAGACTAAGTAGCATCTAGGAAAAGTGGCCCTAAGTATTGGGGGTTGGAAAACAGAGCCCTTCCGGGTCCACACTTGAAACCCGCCCAGATTTCACACCGTAACTGTGTCTCTGGGAGGCTTAAATTGCCTCCAGGACCTGACTTCAAATGCATGCGCACTGCCCCACGCCCCCACCAAGAATAACTTCACAGGAAAATGTCTATTATGTTTATTTCATGAGTCCCTCACAGCTGCCCTCTGCCCTCTTGACAGCAGATGAACTTGGTCTGCAGCGAGAAAGCAGGACCCTGCTCTCGGAAGCAGGCAGGTGGAGGCCGTGCTGAGAGGCACAGAGGGCAGGCCCCTGGCGGGGCACATAGAGGGCCTCGATGACACGTGCCCGCTTCTGGGCTTACACACACCGTGTGCTCGGAAAAGCCCAGCAGCCCCTGGGGCAGCAGGCGGGACCTGGCACTGCAGGCCCAGAATGCACCAGCCCCAGGAGGAGGCCCAGATCGAAGCCCAGGGAGGCCTCCCTCATTCCCCCTACATCGGCCTTGACAACGCACGCTCCCTGCGCACCAGCCCTCCCACTTTTCCCAATCAAATTTAACAATAACCCTACAACTGCGTAGTCCTATAATTTATACAATAACCCTGGACATGCACAAAGACACAGAAACGAAGATGTTCACTGTGGGCTATTCTTTATAGAATCAAAATATTAAGGACTTCTGAGCTTCCAACTCTAAAAGGCAGATTAAAGACACAAGAGCTTGCCCATGAACCAGGATAAAGGCATCCAGAAGACAGATGGTTTCTAATAGTTTTAATGATGTGAAAAAAGTTTTGCAATTACTAAGTATAAATATACCACAAAGAATCTGTCTGGTGTGCGGGTAAGTAGGTGGGCAGATAGACCCATCTTTCTCACCAATACAGTGATTGTGTTCTAAAAATTCATAGCTGGCAAAGCAAGATCAGGATATTATGGAATTGAGAGACAAGCGATAAGTGACATTCAATATGCTTTGAAAATGCAGTCAAATAAGTAAATGGTGGGGGATGGGATGCCTGTGGAAATGGCATGGCGGATTCAGCATCACCTGCGGACACCGGAGCGGGCGGTACCCTCCCCCCGGGCAGTGCTGGAGGGGCTGGGAAACCCCAAGGGAGCAAGGCCTGGCCTCGCACCACACATGAACAGGAAAGCCTCACTGAGCAGAAATACAGGAGACATAACCCAAATCTGTGCCCCTTCTTCCCTGTGGCCTGGCTGGAGCAGACAGTAATGCACAAATCCCGGCTGGTTCTAAGGAAGAGCCTTCAGGATGTTCTGGGGCCAGGTGCCTGGAGACGCCTGGTCAAGATGAAGAGGCTGCGGCCTACAGGCTCTGTGTAGGCACAGACTCAGAGGGAATGAGAGGCCAGGCAGAGCCAGCCTGCGGCCAGGCCAGATCAGCCTGTCTGGAGCAGACCCAGCAAGGATCCAGACGGCACGCGAGAACTCAGGCCCCTTCTTTGTGCCACCCTGAGGGCGCAGGCAGGCACCACTGTGTGGACACCAAGCAGTCCGTTGAGAACGGGGGTCTCCTTTTCACTGTTTCCTTCAAACAGCTACTGACAGACAAGAGGAAAGGGAGGATCGCTGAGAGCTTGATTATCAAGGGATCAAAGAGTCAGTAATTCATTCGTTCCAAAGGAATAAACATTTACCCGAAGACACAGCCCTCCATGTGCAGCTACTTAAATGGAAAGATACTATGTACATGGTCAAGTTTAAAATTAACTTCTACCGTCTCCTCTCTGCAGTGTAGCAGGAACACTCAAGGGCATTTAAGTGTGTTATTGCTTGCTTGTGGGTGGTAGAATGAATTTTCAACCTTGAAATACACATCATCTTAAAATCTCAATAGGCAAACCACAGCTGGCATGTCGCTTTGAAGCCCCAAATGCTCACGGTGTTTTCTGAGTGGGAGGATGGACGATTTGTATTCCTTTTCTTCTGGCTGACCCCTGTTCTCTCAATATTTTGCAATAGATGTGAGTCTCTTTTCATGTGAGGAAAAAGCTTGCTAGGTTTATCTTTATCAGCCTCGGCCAGGCCCCACGGGGGGGCACCGGGGACGCACTCACCGGGCAACGGGCAGCCAAGGACCTCCATCCGCAGGCAGACACTCCCGTTGTCGAACCAGGACTGCGGGTTGATGCGGATGTAGCGCGCCACCATGGGCACGGGCAGCTCGTTGAGAACGGGGGTCTCCTTTTCACTGTTCCCTTCAAATATCTATTGACACACAGAAGAAAGGAGAATCATTTGGAGCTCAATAATCAAGGGGTCAAAGAGTCAGCAGTTCACTCACTGAGGATGCCACCTGTGTGCTGGGCATCGAGGGGAAAGGAGAACCGCATCAGGCCTGGGCCCTGCCCTCGGGAAGCCGCATCTTGGCGGTGGGAGGTCATACTTAGACGTCACAGGTGAAACTGATTCGTGCCATGGCAAAGGGACAGCCACAGAGCTCTGGGTTTCCAGGAGGGAAGGACCAGGCCAAGCTTCAGGGAGGAAGTGCTGTGTGAATTGGCCTTAAAGGCCAGCTATTCTGATCTGTAGGGACGGGAAGGGTTATAAAGAAAAGCAGCTGTGCCCGGAGGGGTCCAAGCTGGGGTGCAGAGGGGGCGCACACCCACGGTGTTCTGGAATACGGGAGTGTGTTGGGGGTACGAACAGGAAAGAAGGTTGAAAAGGGAGGGCGCAGTCAGACGGTGCAGGACCCGGGAGGCAACGTCAGGAGCAAGTGCTAGGGAACCTGAGGACTGGGGGTGGGGGGGGGGCGTGCGGCGGGCGGGAGGGGGGCGTGGCGAGCACTGGCCAACCTGGAGCAACTCTTGGAGGTGAACAATGGGGTCATTACAAGAGGTTAAGGAACTGTCATCGCTGAAGAGCAGTGAGGGGCCGCCCATTCTCTAAGGGCCACGCGACTCCAGGGCTGACCTGTGAACCGTGGAACAGGCTGTACCCCGGCAGCTCTGAATTTTACATGAGCCCTAAATGCAGGCCACATGGTGCTGTACTTCTGGGCATGGGAGGGGCGGTCATTCTCCATCAGACTCTGCGGTTGGTTTGAGTTGACGTGAGATTGGCAAATGCCCAGGGGCCGGCACTGGCGGGGCGCATACCGCCTGCCCCTGCAGAGCCCGCACTGCCAGGCACCAGGCGGGGGGACGGAGAGGCTCACCATGTCTCCAGATCCATTCTTCACAGTGACCCACGTGTGGCTGTCATTGCTCACCATGACCTTATAAGAGGTCACCCAGTCACTCCTAAGAGGAAATAAAACGTCATTGGGACCACGCGCTTGAAAATGTCGACCTCGTCCATGCAGAAGGGCAGCCGCGTGCAGAGTAGGCCGACGCTCCCTGCAGCCTTGGCCTGGACCCTGGTGTATTTGTACAGCACGGGAACCGTAACAGTACAGAGCTTTCTGAGCAAGACTATTAAATAAAAGTGCAAAGCTGTCTGTCCATGGACTAAAATAACAAATAAAGAATTGAGCTTAAGGAATAAACATGAGCATTGAATGGTTAGTATCCTTTAAATATTTAGGACAACGTTTGGCCTCAAGCAAGCACTAAATGTTGGTCCCACCTGAGAAGACAGATCGATGGGTACATACTTGTTCACGGTGAACATTAGTATCACACACAGTAGTAGCTCAATAGAGTCCCACGTGGAAAATGAAACTCAGTAAAAGTTGCAAGTTGGCCTAGAAGTTTCATTGGGGAAACTGGTTTGGGAACCTAACAAATGAGAGCCCACCAACCACAAAACTGAGAGCCTGAGTCTCTAAGAGACCCTGGGTTTCTCCTTGGCCGTCGCAGCCAAGTGGTGCCTCCCCCACCCCACCGTCCCCAGCCCCAGCAACCATGCAGGGTCCGAAGCCCAACCGCTGCGCAGAAATGACAGGGTATTGCCGCCCTAATCCGCCTTCCCAGAGCGGAGGGCCACCTGATGGCCTCGACAAACAAACGGCTGTCATGTGAAAAACGCCTTTTCCCTCTGCCTCCATTTCTTATAATGTTAATTGTCAAGCGATGCAGAAAAGTCTCGCTGAGCATCTTCCTTGTTAGTTTTTAAAATATTAAGACTTCAGCACAACTGACTAATCTTTCAGGACATTCTGCCAGCTGACACATGGGCAATCCTTTCTGGGCTGTGAAATCTTGGACTCAGGATCCAGCTACATTACCCTATAGAGTTCTGAGTTTCTACTCTGAACCACTGATGTCTAGTAAAATTTATTTAGAAAGAGTGCGGGTTCTATTCATTCTGGTCCATCTCACTGACATGTCACAAAAAAATTATTCTTTGGTGCTTTTACGCTGAAACACACCCTAACCTCGAACCCTGCCCTCTCCTCCTCTCTCCTGCCCACGGGCTTTGGCTGATTCCCACTGGAAGCCGGCGCCTACCCAACACCACACTCCCCCGTGCAGGGGTCGGGGCGGGGAGGGGGCTTGGGTCTTACTGCAGATTCAGGTGCAGTAAATATGCCTTTCGAAAGGGCACCTCAGTGACAGCTCATATTCTTTGCACCACAAAATTGTCCTCACCCACAACAGCAACCTGGTTCCCACGCTCAAGTAGTTTCCAAACGACTCGCACCTGCCGTCTGTTTGCCGCTCACCTGCTGATCAGGCCCCGCAGAGACGCAGCGAGCGGAAGGTGGGAGAGCTCCCGGCCCACACCAGCACCCAGACCACGGGCCGGGGGCGGCGGGTGAGGGGGTAGAAAGGAAAATGAAATAAGTTCTCCGAGGAAAAGCAGAGAGAGGAAAGGAGACGAAAGCCAAGTCACAACTACACGAACTTAAAGAGGATGTGTGGACCAATCCACAACTTAGGTGAGGGGCGATTTCCTGTTCACCTGGCTCAGACCTCACTGCGGACTACGGACCTACAGACGGCACAGCCTTGGGCCATTTTGTCCTTGCCACTCACTCAATGTCTCAGTGACATGGCAAATTTAATTGGCCCCAAACCAACTGATTCATTTCAAACCAGCCAGCCGGTCCCTGCCTCAGGAAAGGAACCGCCAGCCACCCACGGGGACCAAAATCCCCGAGTCATCCTTGGCACCCCAGTTTCCCTCTATCCCTGACATGGAATTCGTCACGAAGTTCTGTCAGCGTTACCTCCCACGTCACCCTAGAATCTATCCAACTCTCTCCACCTTCACTGCCCAACCCCTACTCCGCGGCCCGTTTTCTGAGGCCAGGACTATGACAGTTGCCACCGACGGGGCTCCTGGCATTTCAACCCATCCTGCAGCCAGAGGCTTGCTCTTCTAATGAAATGTCAGGTCATCCTGCTAAAACATCCCTCTTATTTCAGTGTGAAGACCAAAATCCTCATCGCGCCCTACCGGACCCTTGCCTACCTCCTGTTCCCTAAGTGCTTTCTTTGCATTCCTGACACCGATCACACTCTCTCCCGCCTCAGGCCCCTCCACGTGTCCTTCCGGACCCCTCTCTCTCCCTCTCCTGCCCCCGCCTGCCGCTAACTTATTCAGACCTCAACCCGCATCCGATCAGCCTCTCCCAACCTGCCAGTCTCGCTGGTTTCTCACCTGTTCCCCTCTTTCGTAGTTTAATTCCATCTGAAGTTGTATACTCCTTCCTAAAACTGTCTGATAGGGTCTGTAGCCCCTCTGGAGTATACGCATTTCACAGGCAGAGGAAGGAGAGACCGTGGTCCCTTGGGGACTGAAGGGAGGCCCAAGTCCCTGGAGGCCAAGGTGAGGGATGAGACAGCAGAAGGGCTGACGGCATTCTTCCCAACGTTGAAGAAACACGTAGCACTTTAAAAACTTCTTTTCAGAAAATTGGAAGCATTTTCCAACTATGAATTTGGCATAACCTAGATATCAAAATCTGATGAGGACATTACAAAAAAACAAAATTGTAGAAACGTTTCTCTCTTGAGCATAGATACAAAAAATCCTAAGCACTTTATTGCCAAATGGAACCCAGGGATATATACACAGGGTAATACAGCACCACCAAGGGGGATTTATTCCAGAAGCCTAAGGACGGGTTAGCCACACTTGCAACCATTCAGGGTAACTCGCCACAGAAACAGGAGGAAGCGGGAAAAATCGTATGATCCCTCTGAGAGGTACAAAAATGCACTTGAGAAAACTGGATAGCCATTGTATTTAAAAGGAAAAAAAAAAAACCCTCTTAAACTAGGAATAGAGAGAAACTTTAATCTGAAAAAAAAAAAATCTACAAAAAACCGCATAGGCGAGCACAACCTGGGCCCCATGCAGTGAGGGACCCAGGGCACAGCACGCAGCCATTTCGGGGAACCCAAGTTTTTGGAATGTGAGGAACACCCGGCAGCAGGAGTTCACCTTCTGTTGTAACACCAGACAGTGGTTTGATAGAAGCTGAAGACTTTCTCCAGAATTTTCTGGGCACGGACCCAGAAGGAGCCGAAGCAACTACCCTGCAACCCAGCAGCACGGAACACGAACACACCTTGACATTGTCTTCAAACTCAGACGCAAGTCGAAAAATAAAAATGTATGAGGATGTCTTCTGAGGACGCTGAGACAAGGAGCACCGAAGACAAACGTGCAGGGGTGTCCTCTTAGAACCGAGGTGGCATGTATGTAAAATGAATCTGTACTGAGTCCTCCGGCAACGTCCTCTTCAACCTGAGGTTCCAAGGCTGAAAAACCGATGCCTGTGGCCGCCGGCTCTAGCCCCGGCCGACCAGCTGCCTGTGTGCCCGCGGCAGCCAACGTGCTGAATCTCTTCTTCCAGGAGAAAGAAGGAATTCAAACTTGGTTAAAATAAAAATAAACAAACAGGACAAAAGACCTGATTTACAGCAAACGTGTCCCTGATATGCAATAGGAAAATAATAATAAAAATGGTCCTAGGTCCACTGGAAGCCCACAGAGAAAACCATGTCTTGGCTCCAGCCCACGCCACACAGTAATCCACTCCAGGTGGCCCGCAGACCCAGGTGCGAAGGGAAAGCTACGCAGGGAGAGGCACCGCCATAGGTCCAGCTGCAGCAGCGCGCCCGAAGCGACGGCCTCCGTTCACACTTAAGAGATTTTTTTTTAATGAATTCATGCTTGTATTGCTAATATCTTCTCCAGTTTGTCTTCCTTTTCATTCTCTGTGTGGTATACTCTGATGAAAAGAATTTTTTAATCTTTATGTAGTCCAATTAAACATTTTTTAAAGTTTCCAGTATTCGTGTCCTTTTCAATAAATTTCTGCTATTCTAAGATTATAAAGATACCCCACTAGGTTTCCCAATGCTGATATTGGTAATTGCTTTTTCCATCTTTTTGTGATCGTTCATGAAATGTCAGTTTTATTCACCTTTTCAAAACATCAACTTCTGGCTTTGTTTACTACTATTAGTTTCCTATTAGAGTGAACCACATAAAACTACCATTTGTAGAGATCAAAATAGTTGAATATCTGCAATTTCCTAAGGCTCAAGTTAATATTTTATTAACTTCTACTCTTCATTATGTTCTTCTTGGTATACTCTTTAGGTTTGATTTGCTGTTCTTTTTGTATAGCTTCTTGAGATCACTGGTTTTCAGCCTTACTTTCTCTTATATATTTTTAAGGATATAAAGTTCCCTTTGAATACTGCTTTAGCTACAGGCCATAATTTTAATATCTTGTCTTCATTATTATTCAGTTCAAAATAGAAATTCCTGTTGTGATTTCTTCTTTGATCATGGACTAATTAGGAGTCTAATTTTAAATTCCTGGGTACTAGATTTTCTCTGGTTATCTTTTTACTTCTGGTTTTTAGTTTAATTGCATTATGGACAAAAAACATACTTTGAATCACATCAGTCCCTTGACATTTGTTGAGACTTTTTCTGTGGCTCAGCATGTGGTCAACTTTAGTGCATGTCCCATGTGTCCCTGAAAACAATGTCAGTTCTGTAATTGTGTGCAATGTTCCACACATTATTTTAATCAAATGTATTAATTGTGTTCAGATCTTCTGCATCCTTAATTTTTTGCCTGCTTATTCTATCAGTTATAGGAAGAGGTGTACACAAGAATACCAATCAGATTGTGAATCTATCTGTTTCTCCTTCTAACTCTCTCAATCTTTGTTTTTACAAAAGCAGTCAAGCTATGTTACCGAATACTTTCAGAGTTAAGACTGTGTTATATTACTAGTCGATGGATTTTTATAATTATGACATGTCTCTTTTTATTTCTATCAGTGCTTCTTGTCTGTGAAGCCAACTTCTTCTGATATCAGGACAGCTA